AGCATGGAGACACGTTGAAATTCAATTGGGTCAAAGTAGCTGTTTGCCTGTTGATTAAAAAAAAAAAAAAAAAAAAAAAAGGACACACGTGCTGCATTATAGTTTGCCTTAAAAAATAATTTAGGCTTCAAAGTGTTAATTTTTTCCTCCCTATTTTCTCTGGGTTAATGTTTCAAGATGACTGCTTGCTCCATACAGATTTGTAATATGTATGTGTTTACTCACACGCCTCTAAGCCACCAAGAAAGGCAGAGCAGAATTCCAAATCTATCATTAAATCTACATGTTGGCACCTACAAAGAACTGCAGGACTTCATTTTTTTCTGGATAAGACTGAAGGAATAAACCAAAAGAATAAAGGAACAAACAAGCCATTCTCCCCTTTAAAATACACATGCAAAAAGAAGGAAGGGGAGAAGAAGAAGAAAAAAAAAAAAAAAGATGGCTGTAAGGCTGTTGATTTCCAGGTGTGTCTACCAGTGGCAAATGTCAGATTTTTTCAGGATTACATATGGGTCTGCTGACAAACAGTGTGGTTCAAAAGGCACAGCACTGGTTCGGCTCTGACGTGGCCAGTGTTATTCCCAATTCAGCCACTGAATCGTGACGCGACTTCCAGCCTTTGCCCAACTTGGATGTCCAGACTCTGCTTCACAGATTTTATTCTATTCTATTCTATTTTATTCTCTCCCTCACTGTGAAAAAGTGCCTCACGGTATCAGGGTATAGCCACACTGGAGTCCCAATCTTATAATTAGCGCCTCTAGATGCTACTGTAAAATAAACGGTGACGATGATATTGATGAATTATGACTTGTTTTTTAATTCTGCTTTAGTCTAGATCATAAAGAATTAACATAAAAATCAAACAAGGATAAGATCTGTGTACCCAGGGGCCCCATACAATTCCCACTGAAGTCAGTAGGACTTGAAGGGAAATCGAATGAGGCTGTGAAGCGAATTCAGCGTAGGTGCTTGTGCACCGCTCTGCTGGGGACCACAGAAACACCTAGCGCGGCAGTCACCCACAGTAAATCCGTTGGACTATGAAAGCAAGGCAATCAGCAGAGCTCAGAATACAGATAATGCAGGGAGGGGAAAGAAGTGTTCAACGTAAAAAAGAAACCAAGGAGGGATGTTCTTAGCACATTAAGAGCTATAATGAAATACTGCATCTTGAGTTTGTCGCTGCTTGAAGGAAGCTAGGAAACGAGCAAGAATTCATTATGAAGCTGCTCAAGACCAAAACATGAATCATTGCGTTCTAAAAAAACCCAGTTGTCTAGAGAACGGCGTAGATGAAAATGAATGGAATCTCTTTAAATTACTCTCTGTATAAACTCTTTCACATTCATTCTTTCTGCCATTGATTAGTATCTTTCTGGGATATGGTTTTTTAAGTAATTCCACACCATACTCCCAGCTTCTGCAATCAAAACACAGAAACGGCTCTTGATTCTGCATTTTTAGGCTTCATTTACAGGGACAAATGTCTTTGGCAGTAAGAAACTTGAACACCTACTGTTCTTACCCATTTACTGGATATCACCAAAAGTGCATGCTGAAGTCTCAGTAATCAAATGAGATTAAGATTCCCCCATCACTTTACGAATAAGGGGACTTCTGTACACTATTGCTGCGTAAAGAAGGATTAAAGCACCTCTGGAAAGCCCTCACGATCATTAAAGTGCTAAGAAGCTGGGACCTCTTTGATCCCAGCATCCCTGACAATAAAGCAGAAAACCCCAAATCCTAAATAACGATTGAGAAGACCTCTCTGCAAACCCAGGTAAGAACATGCAGAAGGGAAACGTGGCAGGCAAAACACGGTCTCTGGCTATACTGTTCCTGCTCCATCCAATTTCCTGAGAAAACAAGGCTTGTGTGACCACATGGTGTGTGTGTGTACGTCTGCCCATTGCACCAACCCCTTTCCAGTAATTTCTGAAGCATCAACCAGTCGGCAGTATTAGGCTTACGGTTGGAGTCAATGATCTTAAAGGTCTTTTCCAAACTAAATTATTCTATGATTCAATAATTTCACTTGACAAGAGCTCCATTGAGGGAGAAGCAGTACCAAGAGCTGAATACCAATCAATCATGACGGAAACCACTTCAGAGAAAGAAACTTGCAATGTTCCGAGAACCAGAAAAACATGATGTCCTCTACTAGTTTGCAATTTGTGTTAATTCCTTATTTGATGTGCACCTTATCAGACCAAAGAAATCCAACCATGAGACATAACTCTGTTAAAAAGCCGGTTCCCTCATCTCACAGCTTGTGGAGTGATATACAAAAACACTAAGGGAACCCATGGGAATAATATGGAGGGGCTCTGCTAAGAAGCAACATCCTTTTCTACCTACAAGTTCTGAGAGGCAGAGATTACTGTTGCTAAGGACCGTCCTCAGCAATTCAGACTGAAGGATTGCCCCTTATTGGTGCCTTCAAGTAGGAGTCCATCCACTCTTTGTCTTTTTAACCAGAGACTCCTAATCCACGCCCAGGAGGCATTGCTCAGCCTGCCCCTGCCCACAGGGGTCCCCAAGAGCTCCCAGCCTGGGTCTCCCTGGATGCAAGAAACCTCCCACAGACAGACCGCAACAGTGGCACAAGCCTGAACCTTGTCAGAAAGTCTGCCAGCTCTGAAAAACACAACATGTAGACGCGACATAAAGCAAGCAGCAATGTCAAAGCGTTGTGCTAGCCTGTGTCCTGCTGGCACTCCGATGGCAACAGGAAATGGCAAAAATCAGCAAGAGAATGGCTGTTCCTAAGGGATCCCGGCATCCGAGATATCTTGGGTACCTCACTGCAGACATATCCAGCACCTCTGACATCTACAGCATCCAGCACAGCACCATTCTGCTGATTTAGGCAGAAGTATGGTCAGCTGGGAGGATCCTTATGGCTGTAATTTTGCAAAAAAACGCTGCTGCACTGGTTAGCAGTTTGCTAACCAAGACTGCTTGAAGAAACATAAGAAAGCAAAACTTTCATAAAAACATGAAACACACAAGATTGCTTAAGACCTCAAGCTTCTCACAGAAAAACATCCCACTCATGATTGTTGAAGTGGATTTTACAAGACTTACTGTGATGACATCCAAAATTTATTACAGCTTTTACAATAAGACCACGTCTAGTAAAGAGTGATGCAGTGACAACATTTACTTGGCTGGATTTAGCTTCTTAGGGCACATAAATATACTTTTGTACTTTAAGAACAGCTGTAGCTGCCTACTAAATCTTGAATAATACAAGGCAGCTTTGTAGACCTTTAAACACACGCACCAATTTGGTTCCATCTCCTTCACAAATCTGCTTCCTTACTATCTGCCCAGTTAGTCCTCAAGGCCCTGTTCTGCTCATCTTCTGTCAACCTCAGCTTTTAAAATGAAACTGCTTGGAAATCATGCTTTTAAGTTCCTATGCTTTTTCAGTATGGAATTCATTACTTTTAGAAAGTGGCCAAGTTTGTTTCCCCACCTTCCCCAGTTATAAAACAAACTGGAAATCTTCTCTGTTTTCCTTGGTACACACAGGAAACATTTTGCATGACTTCTTAAATTTGAAAACTGATTTATTGACCATGTGCGTGAAAACCTTATCATAAATATAAATTAAATTATAGATTTCTGTTAAGCACTGAATAAGGAATTTCTTTGGTCTAGCAGCTTAGACAATTTGAAAAGACATTAGAGTAAAATAGCAATAGCTGGACAAAACTTCTGAAAACAAATAGCAATGTTTTAGCTTGTAGTTTTTTGGGAACAGATTTGAAGCACCTTGAAGTGTCCTGATTTCCCGAAAACAGCCTGAGTCCAATATCAGAAAATTAGGTCCCTTGCAAGCACTTCATGCTCATGTTGTTGACCACTTCATAGGTAAAAATACTACTTTACCTACACATTGTGCTCTCTAATATACTGGTTACCAAAGCTACATGAGCACTAGGTGATATTTTGCCAAATAACGGGACTGTATTTGAAAAACCTGAATCCAGCCAGGACCAGCCATAAAACTGGGTAAGAGCCCAGACCGGCTGTCTGTTTCTTATGCAGAAGCTGGCTCAGCTCCTGGTGGCTGCCCCAGCTGGAGGAGCCTACCAGCATCCCAGACTGATGCTGACCTTGCGCTTCCCCTCCCATGGGGCTCCTACAGCTTACACAGGGCAGAAGTGAGTGTAACTCTTAAGGACAACCTTCCACAGCCACCCAAACTAGCCCTGACCCTCCCAGCCCCCAGAGAAGCCTGACCCACCCAGCCCCCTACCAAGCAAATAGCTCCCAAAAGTCACATTCCCTGCCCTGAGGCAGGGCACTACCCAGACCCAACACTCACACTTCCAAAAAGGATCAGTCACAAACCCTAGGACCAGTGTTAAACAAGAAAACCCTTAAATGACCGCATCTAAGAAATTAAAAAAAAAAAAAAAAAAAAAATCAATCCCCAACTTAAACACAAGCTTGGCTACATTTTACAGCGTCCGCCGTATGCAGCAAAGGGTTCAGACTATTTCCACATTCATTTCTGCTGCTGCTGTTCTTATAAAAACACATTGTCCTTTCCCTGTGACATTTCTTCATATCTTTGAAAGAATACTCGCTGTTACCACAAAATATTTGGCTTGAATCCTCCAGTGAGGAGGAGCCAAGGGTTTGGCTCATGTTTTAAAAACAAAAGAAATACTACTCTAAACAAAACAAATGAGTGCAACTGTAACAGTAGATGGAGATAGAGCTCCTAGCACAAGCCATGAATAATTCCAAGTCCTATTAGGAGTAACACAGCTTTCTGAATTTCCCTAGAAAACAGCATGTCATTAAGTTCTAGCTTGACTAAGATGCAAAATGTCACTTTTTTCAGAGAAAAAGCTAAACAAAAGACAATATGTAGTGTAACAACTAAACTGCAAAGCATATCCACTTACAAGCTGAAATTGTGAAAGACAACGTGTGTACACATAAGCACAGAGATATTAAAAGATGGCTCTTACCTCCATCCCCAGATCCTGAGCCAGCATCTGAGAAGGGAACAGAAAGGAATTTATATTCATGTGCTACCATATGTCCTGTAAGCATGCGAAGCAAGAGCGTTCAGTTAAGCATATTACAGTGTCTCTTACATTTGATGTCATCCCTGGGTAAATTACAGAGATCTAATCTGAACCTAGTTCACTCAAGCCATCTTTCTCATGTCTCGACTCTTTTTCTTTAAAGTCTCTATATCAGACTAAAATAATGTAAGCCCTGGAGTGCTGTAACATCCTCATAAGCCTCTGTCTCGTTTTGTTGTACTGAGACTGACAAAGCTTTGCTCCCAACAGTTGTGCAAAGTGACTTCACTTGGCCCCTCCTAAACCCTCACCATCAAAGAGAATTTTTGAAACCCGTTTGTTGGAGGCCAGACCAATTGTAAATTCTTGCCATTATCTTTACCAAAGAGTGACACCTCATCAGATCATAACTAGTCAGAATAAACCATTGAAATTATTTTTATTCAAAGTCTTTAGATAAATGATTAAAATGCCATTTTTCTTGAGGTTGTTGCTGTGTTTCAGAAGCAAGCACTTTATTTTCCTCTGCTTAATGTTTTGTTGGCTGGAATGACGAGAGCCACAGATTCAGAAAGCGCAACATCATGAAATTGCCAAGCCTGGAGCTTCATTACAAAACTTCCTAAGCAAGGCCAAGCACAGAAATGCACACATGTGTAAGGGTACCAAAAATAATCTGTAAAAGGCATTTCTTTTACAAGGAAGGGAGGGAGGTTGTCATCCTATCCTTCCTCTTAGTGAAGGGGTTATCCATTTATCAGCATAGAGATTAATAGAAAGAGTTTGGAAAGGCTGCTTTTCCCCATCTCACGGAAAAAACCTGAGGTACGTGGCTGCTCCCTTCTCCGCTGAGCCTCATTCTTCGGAGAAGGAAAAAGAGACCAAATGAGCAAGATTTCAGGAAAGCCCTTTTTTTTCTTCTCTGTTTCTGAAATCCACTGTGTGTTTCCGAGAGAATGCTTCTAACGTGGCCACTGCCAGTAGGCAAGTTTAAGAAAAGATGTAGCAATGCACTAAAATGATCCCTTTAATCAAAAAGTTTGAACCAAAAAAACCCATTTTCTGTGCTGCAAGGATTTACCGAGTTGAACAAATCGTACGCCACAACAGGCTTTGACAGCCCGAGCTCCGTTTAATACCAATTTATAGACAAAAAAATTGCAGCATGTTTTTTCCTCTTGAAAATTGTCAGGTAACAGCTTCAGAGAACAACATTTCCAGGAAAAGAAGTTTCTTTTCTCTCAGGTGTACGAAACACAAAATTACAGCAGCGCAAAAAGTTTGTCTAATGCACTTTTTATTGACTCCTCCATCCTCAGCCAAGAAAAAATTCTGCTTTAAGTTTAAAGAACTCTCTCAAGAACAAAGACTTACTCCTCCTGCTCTTTTCAAGTTAACTTCACTGCCCACCTCTAACAGATACTGAGCACAAAAAAACCCTTCAAGAACTGCTGCACATAAGCAACTCCATTTTCCTGACTGATTTTGCTCCTTCACCTTTCTAGCGGTTTCATAAAAGCAGAGATACAAATACCTCACAGTGCTCAGAGTTAAGCAAAGACGTTGCAAACGCCAGTCAGTTTTCACGTATGCTCTCTAATGAATTCTTCCGACAAGTCCAGGAAAAAAAAAAACCACCACACCTTGCTGCACAGGCTTGTTCGTTAAGTGTGTTTTGGGCCAAATCTTCAGCTGGTGTAAATTGGTAGGGCTCCTTACAATCAGTGGTCTGTTGAATCGTACCAGCTGGGAATCTGGCCCTATGTGCATAAGGGAAAAACCCAAGGAACTGGATTGCAGGCAATAACGCTCCAGTTGTATCTCTCCAGATTATGGAGAGGTTTGTGGTAATCCAGATGCCCATTTATCAGACATCTGCCTGTTAAATCTGCTTCCAGTTACTTGCTGTAACAGCTCAGAAGTGTATGCAGTGCACAGGATGATCAGGAGCACAAGATACATATTAAAAAAAGAAATCAACTTCTGTGCTGCACTCTTCAAAGTAGTGTCAAGGGTATTCAGTATCACAGCCTGTGAGCCTGTACTGAACCAGCTCAGTTAGTTAAAAGGGAAGGATGGCAGCAACTTCACATGCCTAAGACTGCAAAGAATTAACCCGTAATGAATTCAAAGCAGGGATTCAAATGGCTTTTGCCATCCACAGGTGATTTTATTATTCAGGGGCACGGCAAGGTCTGCAGGCAGCCTGGCGCACGTTATACCTACCAGTTGCACACGATCCTTCGGACACCAGGAGTATTTCGCTCTGCTGCTTGCAGGCAGCCTGTTTCAAGTAGCATTCATTCTGGTAGGTGTCCCCATTGGAGCCGCACACGGGCACGTAGTCATTGTTACACTGATGGGAACGGACAGAGAGCAGCAGTGTTAGTCACACAAGTGGGGTGGCACAGCACCCGTTTGGGTGCCCCCCCCAGCCCTCTTCCAGTATTAAAATCCTGGGAAAACAGAGGGGGAGATGCTGACCCTCCTCTTTACCTTCACAGCTACGGGGAGAGGGAGAGGGGTCTTTTTAAAAAGACAAAAGGCAGAAGAGCATAAACCAGATTTGAACACGTTAGGGAAAAGATAAGCTGAATGGGCAAAGTGTTCAGTAAGTGTCCCCAGAGAGGCCTCTCCCTGTGAGAACGAGACGGGGGCATTCCTAAGGCAGACAGCTCCTCACATCTGCAATAGTGGCTCATGTGTTTCCATTGGATGGCTACAGACAAATTGTAATGAACGGGCTCGCTTTTCCCCTCCCCTCCTGCACATAGGCACCCTGGCTGCTACAGAGACAGTCGTTCGTATGCATAGAGGTGTCCACCTGTGTGTGTATAACTCTATTTAAGTACTTAGCTACAATTAGAACTGATTGGACAGAGGGAAATTATTTCTGAGACCTATGATCAAAACCCGTCCCTCCTTCTGCAGAGACGTTTCTGTTGCTGGCGAGCTGCGGCTGGGATGCTCCATGGAGGTCCAAGCTCCAGCCAGCACGCCGAAGGGCACAGGAGTTACACCACGCACCCCTCCTTCGTCTCGAACCCCTCCTCAGTTCTGCCAACTACCTGCTTTGTTCCCTCTACCACCGAAAGACAGCTTTGCCCTCTCTTGTTCATTTTAATAAAAATAATTCCATTTTATATGGAAAATTGGGCAACCTACCGGGTGCAGTTATCGTAAGATAATCACACTCTGAGGCTTAGAAATACTTGGATGTACCCTGTACATGGTAATTATAACAGGGATATGATTATCTCATGATCATCGTACTCCTGGTATGCCTCATTGTTTAATTATATCAAATGGAATGATCACAATTATTATTTACAAATGCTCACCTCTGCTTAAATCCACGTTAAAAATTAAAAAGAAATCATACTTCCTATTTAGCTGTATTATGCCACAAAGTGTCTGAGGTGTGCTCGTCAGGCACAACGTAAACTGCAGAACTGAAATTCCAGGGCTATAAACATCAAATACACTTCAAAGTGAATGACTACAGAAGTGATTAACACAAACAATTGCATAGATTGCATTAATTGCAGGCCTCCACGCAGAGCAGCTGCCAAGAAATTATTCATAGTTGGTCAGAGTGACATTTTGATTGGGCCAAATCAAATGACATTTTCCGTATGCATTGTATTTTCTTAAATCTTCCCAAGCTGCTGCCCACCCCCAGCGCTCTCCTCCCTCGGAACAAGAAAGAAAACCAGCAGCCACAACAGTAGAAATCCTCCTCTTCCGCTTCCTAACGAAGGGCTCCTCCATGCAGAGATTTTAAACATTTGATTAAAAAGCGTTTCCAGGCTATTTTCACCTTTACGTTCCAAATCTCAGCAATGTTTCAAGCAGAAAATGCCAGCTTCATCCAGAAGCTCAACAGCAGTTGCTGGAGGCTGATCTGGAACACTTAACCAGAACAATTAACACAATCACGCAAATTTTTTAAAGCATGCATTAGACATACTATCTGCTTGTCACCCATGGGACTTTTTGCCAGAGCAATCTGTGCAGGGTTTGGCCCAAAGTATCTCAACAGGCTCCGTTACATGTAGAAACAATGTTGGATCCTCTTCCCCAGAAAGACAGCGGCAAACTCTCTGCTGGTTTTGCCCAGAGCAAGAGACGATCTTTTACACTGACTCAGCTGCAAATCTGAAAGGCCAGACAGCCCAACTGATGTTAATAGCACACAGCATCAAGAGTGAAATCCTGATCCACAGAAACAAGTGACAGAGCTGCTATGAGCTAGGCTGGAACTTCTTCCAAAGCTTGGCGATTTTAAGACGCATTCAAGAGACACCAGGGCTTCAGGAAGGATTAACTGTCCTGCCACAAGTTTCCCCATCTCTCCTGTGACTCCTGCCACACTCAAGCTCGGCTTTGGCCAGTGGAAGTAGAGGGTACTCCACGATGAGCACAGGTGATGCAGCCTTTTCTCTCTCAAACTGCTTATCAAAGATTTATTTCTTCATCTGCTGCTCGCTCTTCCCACCACCGCCTTTGGACAACTAATATTTGGGTGGAAAAGGCAGGAGGCACAAGGAACAAAAGAAGTGAGATCTTCCAGATGGATCCTGCCTTGGCTTTGAGCTGGGATGGCTCTGAAAGCCACCAGGAAACCGTAGTGGAAGTCACCCAGGAAAGAAAACAAGACCACAGGTGAGAAGGTTGCGATGTTGGTCACCAGGTCACTCCTAATCCACTAGAGCTGGACTCTTGTACATGACCATGCTGAATCGCAGCTCTTCACTGTCATAAAATACTTCTTGCTAGTACTGGAGAATATTACACCTTGACTTTCAGTTTCCTCGGTCTAGCGAAATGTTTTTGGCATTGGTTTATAGACCAAGCTCTAGACATGGGAATGAATCTTCATCCCTCAAGTAAGGGCTGATCAAGCACTCAGGGAAGTCCATGTCAAAACTCCCACTAAAACCAGCAGCACAGTGCCATGTTGTCCACTTCTCTCTTATACATGCATATATAAACACAGCTGTAGAGCAGGGAAACAGACGTATCCAATTCAGCCAAGTATCAGTCAAAGGCTGCCTTCCTCTGCACTCGCAGCCTCAAGTGCCCACAGCCAGGGACAAACCAGCTTTGCAAGCACTGGGGTTAGTGCTGGGCACTGAAGGCAGAAGATTTGGTTTCTAAAGAAAATGGAAACTCATGTAACTCCTCCTCCTGGTAACACTTAAAAGTTTGATCTCCTCCTACTCTCATGGATTAACTACTCCCAAAACGCCACCTACGCCTTGAACCAAGTAGCACGAAAATACATTCTGGAAATACAAGGCTGCAAGTTGGCCAGGTGATGTTGGCAGTGTTAGGTTAACGGTTGGACCTGATGATCTTAAAAGTCTTTTCCAACCTAAACACAAAAATGTGGAGTTCCAGCTCCACAAACATTGAAGCACATGAGGATTCAACAGGCATGAAAACAGGACTCTTTCCTCACATAAAAAACAGTGAATGTCCACAGTCTTAGTGACTAAGGAGAAAAGACATGCAACATGGATGGAAATACCCTGGTAGATTTTTGGGTATGTGGTGGAAATCTAAGAGGGAAGAGAAGCCAAGCTGCCAGACCTTCAGCTTCGGGCAGACTAGGGTAGAGACCTCAGCGAGCCATGTCTCCAACCACGTGCCTGCTGGCACAGCTCTGCACCTTCTGGCTCTGTGCAGGGAGGGAAGGGGTGGTGGTTTCCCCCACACTCAGCCCCACTGCTGAAGCCAGCACTGGCCCAGTGCCTTCCCACCCTGCCAGTACCAAGGCCTGGGCTTGCCTGGAGCAGGGGACAGGTCTGCATTTACTGATCAGAGCAGGACACAATGTTTTCCAATGCGATACATAACTTGTTGTGAGAAGTTGGTGAATGTGCTATCATTCCACAGTAGAGTACGGCAAGAGAGCCAACCAATGTGAATCCCCTTTTTAGGATGTGCCTGCCGGCTCTCCAGGGATGGCAGCCTAACTCAGGTATTCCAGAGCAGTCTGATCATATTCACCCTTTCAAGTAAAAATAAATCAATTTTAACTCCACTCGGACAGACGTGATGCATCTGTGATTCCAGTTTGAAAACACCCAAACCGAGATTGCAGCAGCCCTGCTCCCCACTCCTGCCTCCCCCGGCCCCTCAAGACACAGGCTGGCCAGCCCAGAACTTCTCAACAGTGCGAAGGCAAAATTAGCTTTCCGTCCTTGTCTATTCTCTCAAGCTGCAGTTAAAGCCCCTGGCAATTTCTGGAGAAAACATAAAAAGTAATTATAGTGATGAGGAGTCTGCTATTGATTTGCTCACTATCACCCCAGAGAGCTGTCACCGAAACGGGGGACCTGAATTCTGATGGAGGACCCCCTTACTCATGACATAAACTACCTGGCCGGCTCTGCCTTACTTGGCCAGCCTTAGACGCTGCACTAGAAATTAATTTTCTACTCTGGTGGCAGATCTTTTTGGCTTGTAACATCAGTGGACAATGTGACAAGAGAAGCTAACATCCCCCCAAGCTCTGCCTGTATCAAAGCAGACGCGTTTGACTACAGAAGCCCCCAGCACCGCACCGTCCTTCCTTCGCAGCGCTGGCACAGGATCAGCCACAGGTAATTTGCCCTCCAAGGTCACAGTCAGCCCTGCGGCTCCACCGAGGGCCCATTCAAGACAAAGAGCTCCTGCTGTTTACAGGGCCTGATCCAAAGGCCACTGAAACCAAAGATTACTGCTGATTTTGACCCATTTACTAGTGATCAGGCCAAGAATTGCCCAACTCTGTTCTTTTGGTCTCTTTTACATATCCATATACCAATTATCTGATTTCCTTAAATCTGTTTCAACTGCCCCCTACGGAACTGCTGAACTCAGCAGATATATAGCATTCCCCTCTTAAAGAGGGGACAACACAGCCCAGAAGGGTTTGCTTAGCTTCATTTAGCCTGAATAACCAGGGACCAGCATCCCACCTTGGGAAAACAGTGCTCCCAATGCCTTCTTCCCTGCTGACAGCAACATCTGAGTTTGCTCCTTCCAGGCTGTGAGGCCACTGCTTTAATGCCAAATGGCAACACCAAACTGGGACCACAGGCAGGACCCAAATGTGCTCTGTGGCTGTTCAAAGTTCCCATTGGTCATGGCACAACATCTGCTCTAGCTTACCACCAGGCAATGGGACACGTCACAGATGTTTCACTGCATTACAGATTTTTCTTAGAAAGAGAAAACAGACCAACCCTTAAATCACTGCGCGTCCTGAGCCAAGGCAAATGCTCCAAACAGCATTCTCACACTGAATTTTTGATTGCATGCAAACTAGAAATGGAATTAAAAACAAAACAAAAAGCAGCCATGGTCAATATGAATTCTCTCCCACCACGGGAAACGCAAGCACTTCAGCAAACAACTGTCTTGTTCTTATTACAGAAAATTCCTTCTTTGTTTTAAATTAAGGAATTTATCACTTGGGCTTTTTTTCTCCAAAGACACATTTGGCTCTAGAAGTATAAACGATACTTGTCATGTTTCAAAGCGAATAGTCTATCAAAGCTCAATAATAAATTAATCATTACAGATGTGCACGATCTTGAACCGTGCACCATTTGGCCTGCTCTACTGTAAACACTCAAATCAGCGTTACAAGTTCCACAAGTTCACAGATCCACATTAAAATGCAAGAAACCACAGGGGCATAAACGTACATACAACACGTGCTGGTACATGCTTAAAACTCCTTTAATTTGTTCAGTTTTTATTCAGGTCATTATGTAAAGCACAGCTGTTTTGTGAGTTGGCTAAAACGTATTAAATGGAATCCTTCATAATGAAATCGTCTGACTTTGAGAATGCTGAGGTTTAGAGGTAGCTGCAAGAGGGAGAGAGAAGAAATAGCAGGGAAAAAACCACCCTACTACTCAGTAATAGCCCCCCTAAAACTACATAAAACCTAAAGGAAGTTTATGATTTTGGAACAGAGGGATTGCTCCTTAATCTGATCAGCTGGGCAGATAAACAGGCAGAAGCATTGTCACTATGCAGCCCTTCCTGAAAATATTGCATAAGCACATTACAGATCCATTTCTTTAACTAGATCAGAATGCCGAATACAATAAGCCACGATCTGTATCAGAAATGAATTTAGAGAGGACTCTAAATCCTTGTTAAAAGGGCAGGGACGAAAAATCAGAAATGCACAACCCAAAACTGCAGACCCGAAGGGACATTTAAAGCCACAGCACCTGCATTTTCCCAGAGAAACTTAGGTCTTCTTGACACCAGTTGGTTCTCCTGCCAGCTTTTATACATGCTGCCAGGTTTTCCCTCTAACTTCCCTGCATGTAGAGAAATAAATTGCCAAGTGATAGGTTATAAAGGGAGATCCTTGATTTGTATTCTCATTAGTGAATTAGAGAACGAAATATCAATCTTCTTACCTTGAACTGACAGACACAAGTCACACTGTCTCCAATCCTTAAACACTCCCCATCAAATTTACAGGTATTGGTGTCGCAGAGAAAGAGATCGTTTTCTCTGTCATCGTAACCTCAAATGTAAAGAGGGAAAAAAAAAGAAAAAAATAAATAAAAATGTCAGCTTTGGTCTAGCAAGAGGAACAATACGGGATGATTGCATTTTAATGCACACAGCACAATAACCTTGTTGATGAAACATAGAGTCCAGGTTTTCTTTTGTCCTTCCCTGTCCTCAGTTTTCCACTTTTTCTCTTGTTTCTCCCTCGGTCTTTCTCTTAGCACTTATGTCCCCCTACCTCACACACTTCTTTTCTATTTCACAGACCCTGTTTCCTCAAAAGTCACCCAGTAATTACGCTATTTCATGGCTCTGGGTTGGAAATGTCATCAACATATCCCCATTCAATCGCAAAGCTGTTGGACAAAAGTCCAGATTGGAATTTCTCCAGCCCATGATGCAACAAAGCCCCCAGTAATCAAGACAAACAGGCTGTGTGTTTTCCGTGATGGTCTGCCTGATCCCAATGAAGATTGATCACCTCTAAGTTAACAGGAGAAGTGCCAGGTTCCCCACAAGCCGCTGAGTGAACCTAACCCCTTGCCTTCATTTTCTCCAGGAAAAACTAACAGATCTGACTGAAGATTCAGTTCACGAATACGAGCATGAATTTCAGATTTCACTAGCTGGCTTCCCACTCCAGCAGCGTGCAGCAAGGTATTAAACAAAACAGCTATATCAGGCTCCAAACCCATTAAGATCTAAATCCATCGAATTTTTTTTTTTTTAAATATCCGAGCGCTCTTAACCATATCACTACATGTTTAAAATGAAGAGCTTACTGTGGAAATTTCCCCCTCTGCCCCAATCTAACATATTACGGGCGACGCACGCGTTACCCCAAATAACGCTCTTGCCCTTAGAAGGCTATTTATTACAGCCTAATTTCGGAATTACTTTACACATCGGAGAAGGGCCGGCTGCTGACCTACATGGGAAACTCGTTAGAAAGGTCAGCCCGACTTTAAGGAACGGGTACCGGGTTCCCGGCGTCCGTGCCCCGATTCGCTCCCAGTTCGGTGCGCACGGAA